GAGAGAGAGAGAGAGAGAGAGAGAGAGAGAGCGCGCGCGAGAGCGAGAGAGAGAGAGAGAGAAAGAGAGAGAGAGAAGAAAAAGAGAAGAATAAGGAGAGAGCGCTATTATGTAACTGTTTGGCTGTTAGGTTGCTCGGTGTGCGTGCGCCAGCGCTCCAGCTATATATGACGTTGTTGATGTTAGCTGTTTCATGTGACATGTCTGCTCATGTGAGCTGCGCCATAGCGTGCACACATCTCTGTAGGGGGCCTACATGCACACATGCGCATTTGTTTAACAATATTATATTTATATGTTATTTTTGGCTGTTTGTCGCTACTTTCACCGCCTAACTTTTTATTATTATTACAGTATTATTACAAATTCACTACCCATTGCGTGTTACCCATTAGTGAGATCTACTTTTCGACGCCAATACCAATTTCATTAGTGTGATCTTTGCGGTCATCACACGCCGATGCAGCGAGCGGCGGACGCACGCACGCACTGGTGCACGCACGGACGCGCGCACGGACGCACGCCCAGATACGCGCACGGACGCACCCACGGAGTCACGCACGGACGCACGCACGGACGCACGCATGGATGCACGCACGGACCCACACGCGGAGTCACGCACGGACGCACGCACGAACGCACGCATGGATGCACGCACAGACGCACACACTGAGTCACGAACGGACGCACGCACGGAGTCACGCACGGACGCACGCACGGAGTCACGCACGGACACACGCATGGATGCACGCACGGACGCACGCACGGACGCACGCACGGACGCACGCACGGAGTCACGCACGGGCGCACGCACGGACACACGCACGGGTGCACGCACGGACGCACGCACCATACACACACACACACACACACACACACACACACACACACACACACACACCACACACACACACACACACACACACACACAGTATGATATATATACATATATATATAATATATATCGTTTTCGCCGCCGCCGGTAACACGACGACTCCCGTCGATGGTGAAGTGCGCAAGCAGGTATTAACAGCTGCTATGCTGGCTGCATCTCACGCATCTTGTTCTGCGTATAGAGTTGACTCGCTCCCGCCACTACGCGCCGCAGAGTGTTCCGCGCTTACAAGCCTCATGCAGCAGGATTCGCATATCGATGCTGGAACAGAAAGATAGAAGAGGAGAGAGAGAGAAGAGAGAATGAGAAGATCAAGAGAGAGAGAGAGAAAAAGAGAGAGAGAGAGAGAGAGAGCGAGACGCAGACTCAATAATCCGCGGTAGCGATTCCGTTATGAAATTTCGTAGAGGCTCCGGTGTCCGATCGATACATACACGCGCGCGTGCACGCACGCACGCACGTTCGTACGTGAGCGCGCCAACGCACACGCACGCGCGCGCACACAAATACAAATAAAACAAACAAACAAAGACACACATGCACGCGCGTACACACGCACGCACTAGCGCGGGCACAGACACACAGACAACATACTATTTTGACGTTGCATAATTGGCATGTCGTGGGGGAGCGGGCGGGTGCAAGAGAATTACGCGCGGGAAGGTAGAGGCGGTGAGCCTGCCCCGCAGCGAGACTGGTGGCCGCGACACAACAAGCCGGCTTGATGGGGTTTTCTCCTTGGTGCACCTGGCACGGGAAGTTACGAGTGCGCTCACGCGTGTTCCATTAGGTAGATGGCGACGGATATAGCGCTTGATCCTTATATAGCGAGTGTTGGCAGGTAGCGCGTCTGCACGTACGTACGCGCACACATGCGCGCGTACCCACGCACACACACTCGCACGCGCGCACGCAGACACACGTAACACGCACGCACGCAAGACACACGTAACACCACGCACGCACTTATACACGCATCGCACTCACTCATATACGCACCACACACACACACACACACGCACGCGAGCCATCGCACGCCACGCCCACGCACGCACACACACACGCGCGACGTCTGCACGGCGCACACACACACACACCACAACACACACACACACACACCACACACACACCACGCGCCGCAGCGCGCACACACGTATCCCACGACGTTTCAGCGGTCAAGCTTGTGTACGCTAATCACATTTCACCAATGGAACTTGTCGCTGCCATTTCAGCTTAATCATGGATCGCGCCGCCTCACTATTTGCCTCTGCTAATGATACCAGCACGCACGCACATGCACTCACGCGCGCATGCCACACACGCACGCACGCCCACACGCATGCACGCACGCACGCACA